CTATCCCACAAAACCGAATACGCGATCTCATTCGAGGCATGCGCAGATGTTGTGAAGCTTTAATTGGTGCTCATGGGCGTCACACTCGATACTAAAACAGTTTCTGTTTATTTAGGATGAGTTTTGTTCAATTTAAGTTTATTAGTGAACACCTCGTTGTTACCAATTTTAAGAGTAACCCTTTTCCTGAGGCTCATTTTCCATCTCTAATTACGATTTTTGGAATGTTTGCAAGCTGATGAATTAAAAGAACAATATTTATTTCAAAAATAATATCAGTATAAGCCAAATAAAATATTTATTTTCACATATGCCAAAAATAAAAGTGATCCTTAGCAATATGTGAGTAGTATATATGTTATACTTATGATAATATAAAGACTGAAATATGGTGATACTGAAAAACATTTATATACATTGTAACAGTACTGATACCTACCAGGCCACACGCCATTTTAGCCTCTCTGTGGTATTGACCCGTCCTTGGAGGCCAGATGATACCGGGAAAGCCAAGCCATTCCACGACTTGTTTTCCAGTCAGTTAAGAATCTTTATATCTGGATCTTTACGATTGGCCTCCTTGGTCATCAACACTCATATCCAGTTGTGTTTTCTTTGTCTTGTACGAAGACAGGCACCATGTAATTGATATCCTCGTTTGTACTCGCATTGTTTGTCGATCGAAACAGAACTATATATTAACATTGAAAGATCGCAGACGTTCTGTACTCATTGTTCATTAAATGTGATTGAGAATATATCCATTTTTTACTAATATGTCCTATATATTAAATAATAAAAGTTAAAATCATTAAGAACTTACTAGTGGCGTAGGTCATCTGTTTTCATGTTTATTTAGTTATTAAGTGTACAGAACAATAACGAATTAAATAACTTATGTAATTTTATTTTTGAAGCAAACAATATCAGATCAAGAAACCGAACTTAACAAATTTAATGTAATAGTTATATGTATCATTGCCCTGTGTTCTGCAATTTCTTTGCTCTGAATCTTGTATACCATGACAAGTTATGTATTGAACTGATTGACTGATGAGTAAAATGGTCATGGCTTAATAAAGAAGTCGGACTTGATAACATCCCCACTTTCTGACTCGTTTACAACACCTGCAAGTGCACAATTGAGCTTATCCATGTTTAAGGTGTTGATGCACAACACAGCCTCGGGAATTATGATCGATCAAGGATAACCTCGGTATTTTTTCAAACGTTTTGTCCGCACATTCCATAGATTCCATCTCGTCTGGTTAAGGTGTTGTGAGTCAATGACTTGACTAGACATGTATTAACATTGAGAGGGATTAATCCCCTATGGTTTAGGATAGTGGAATCAGTGATGTTTTGGCAATTGACCCGTTACTTACATATTGGTATAGTAGGACGAGGAATAGTGATAAAGTGATAAAAATAGTGCCGTCGCTCGGGCTCGAACCCCCGACCATTGACTCTCAAGCCCGATGTTCTACAGCGTAGCTAAAGGGGAATTCCCTACAGCTGACGCTTGTAAGGCAACCTAATCAATGCACATATTTTATATTGGGATCGATATATCGGGGGAAGCCATAGAAAACTTGTTCAATTAGTGAAGGAGACACTTCTATATAGATTAGAAGTCTTCAGAAACACGGACTAGGATTAATTATTGACCGAGACAACTAGAGCATTATCCCAGAGAGATATGAGCCAGGTGGCATAGGACTAGTAGTTAGCGCCTGATAAAGCAGCTCCTGTATATATTAATGTATATGCTAATTGTATTGATTGCATTAATTGTATATCTATGTACTGTGAAGCGCTTTAGAGTGGCTTAGTTTAGCTAGATAGGGCGCTATATCAAATGCTGTATATTATTATTATTATTACTTGATGGACTCTGCATGACAGGATCCGTGCATGTTAAATTCATGTTGATGGCAGTATCAACAAGGTGACGATTCAACTAAATCTTTTACGGAAAATACGTTTTATCCTTGATAGAAAAAGCTTTCAGATAATAAACTTTACTTTCATTTTATAAGACCTATTTTGGTATATGCTGACGTCGTCTGGGACAATCTATCTATTGAATATGTAAATAAGCTTGAGAAAATGTGGTGCTACAAAACTTACAACGTCTCGGATGCAGTTCTTTAAAACGTCATCTTTTTAAAAGAAATCTTGTAGACAATCCACTATGTTCATGTGGACATTTTGCAGAAGACAGTTCCCACTATTTGTTGTTTTGTAATAATCAATGAATCACGCCATATGTAATGGCTCCTTTGCCTTACCAATATAGTGCTGATTTACTACTGTTTGGAGACGTATCAAAAACTTATGATCAAAATGTAAACATTTTCATAGCTACTCAAAAGTTCATCAAATCAACCAGAAAATTTACAAGCAATTATAATCTAACTACATTAAGATATCATATAAACTTAAGTACCCATTCAACCGGGTACATCCTGGGTTTCGTTCACTTTAGCTCTCTGAACCCCTGGAATATGTCATAGCAAAATTAAAGGCTCAGTGTGAACCAACTTGTTGATGAGACAAGAAGACTAGTTCGATCCTTTGGTGGACATCAAAAGAATCTCGCGGTCGCGTAACGGTAAAAATGACAGGCTTTGATATCGAATGTCGCTCTTTTGTAATCTTCAAAGGACATGTATCAGCGTAGCGATTGGTCAGGATTTTTTACCCAAAACCAATCAAACAGCTATCTTCGTGTCTTCAACTTTGCTATGACATATTCCAGAGGTACAGAGAGCGAACGTGAGCGTAACCCCTGGATATCGAGGATAACCGGGTAAAACTCCATTAGTTACTTTCTTTATCCCTAACATCATGTTCTATTTTTCTTTCTAAACAGTTTCTTATGTACATGGTTTGGTTTGGTTTCGTTTAATTTTGAGTAACGTCCTATTATCAGCTAAGGTCTTTTAAGGACGTGCTTCCAGACGTGTAGTACATGCGTGCTTGTGTGTGTACGCAGGAGACAGGGTATGTTTATGTGCTTGTCCCCTTGTGATAGCGCGGATCTGATGCCGACTTTATAGTACTATCTCAATGAAATGCCATGCCGAAGGCACCAAACACAGCGTTCCACCTGGTCACATTATACTGACAACGGGAGAACCATTTGTTGCCATTCCCCTTAAAATGCTGAACGTTAAGCAGGGAATAGCAACTACCCAGCAGGACACTCCAATCGGTCACACTATACTGACAAAGGACGAACCATTCGTCCCACTCCTAAATTGCTGAGCGTTAAGCAGGAGCAGAAACTACCATTTTTACACTCTGGTATGTCTCGGCCAGGGGACAGAACCCAAAGCCTTCCTCACAGGGGCGAACGCTTAACTAAAGGCTAATAGTGTGGCATTGTCAATGGAGACATTAGGAAGAAGAAAGTTGTTTAGAAAAAAAGAGAAAAGATAAAATCCCAAATTTAGTCGCCTCTTACGATCATGCAGTGGGTAACAGCAGGTGTATTCTTTTCCCAATCCCCCACATACAGGGGTGTGTTCAGGCTATCACTGCAAAGTTATACATGTATTATCAGCTAAGCTTGTTATATACAAAGGTACTTGTTTCCCAATCATCAGAATGAAATGTCTTTGTAACTGTACATGTTAATGGACACGAACAAAATAGGGTTTATAGAGGATTGTATGTTATGATTAGTTTCTATATATAATCCATGCTAATTATCATTGTGCAATTTACCACTATTTCACTGAAATGCCATCTTTTCAGACCGTGTTCATTGCTGAATAAACATATTTAAAGTAAACGGAACAGAGTCCCATTTAGTTTAAACTTTATTGTTTAAGTTGACCTTTGACTTACCACGGAATTATGTGGAAAATGAAACTGGTATGTGGTATTGGTACCTTAAAATTATTCTTACTTTCTCTGCATAACTTGATATTAATATTCCGTAACTGAACAAATGCCGCTTAAGTGTTACTAATTTACAACAGGTTTTTTTCAATGGCAAATATATTCTACTTAAATGTATATATAATAACAGCAAAAGTTATTAAAACAATCAATAATTGATACATTTGCCTACATCCTTATGTAAGAATAAAAAAAAACTGAAAATCACACATTTTCGATTTTAGCATGGAAAGCATAACAAATATAAAGACCACCACTAGTACTATATATTTTTTCCAGCTTAAGTTGTATAGAAATTATTGTATTAAAAAAGAGCTACCAATATTGCTTTAAGCCATTGTAAAATGAAAGGCGTTGGTTTTTGTCCTTTTTTAAGTTAGACCATACCATTAATTAATATCATAGAAATATTGGTTTAGGGATACTAGATTTAAATATGATATCTCCATTTAATTTCCACGCGTGACAATTTTGCCCCAACAATACTAATATCGACCTTTAAAGTTGGCCAGCGGGTCTGATTATAATCTAAATTAAGGTCTAAGTTAAGAATTGAGTGTCGATTTCTATAAATTGCATTTACAAGATCACAAAATATTTCATCTTAGTAAAAGTTCCTCTTACAGAAAAAACGAATGAAAGATGAACGTTGAATATGAGCTAGGTTGACCCCAGGGCTCCTCAACTCTGTAAACCCCTATTGGTGCTGAGGGGGGAAACCATGTGTTGCAATAAGTAAGAGATCCAATCAGTGCTAAGTTTATTTGACTATCTGAGTGTTATCAGCCTTTGATATCGATGCATCATCATCAAATATTAGGTCAAGATATGTTTATTAAAACATGATTTTTACACGACCGTCAAATAAATTATTCATTCAGAAATATATACATTTTTGTATTACCTTAGTGATTGTGGACAACACGATAAGTTAATACTGGTTTTTTTTTTAGATAGGTTCATACTTATTATTTTAAAGAAATTGATTCCTGGATCCTCCTCTACAACGTTTCGTTTAGATCCGGAACACTCATTGTTTTATTTATTAGGTAACATTTGATACTTCCTCTTAGTTTCAGTTTACAGTACATTTGTAAACACACGGATTTCCGGAGCAGACAGCAATGAAAAGGAAACTAATGAATACCTATGGATTATATTGCTAACTTCTGCTCCTCCTATTTATGTTCTGTTTTCGGTTTACTTCTGCTTGTTTTTGAAGTTTCCTGTTCCCAGTTCATTGGAGGTAAGTAGATCTAATGACTGAATAACCGAAAGTGGGTTGGGGACATTGCTGTAATTTACTATAAATTTACATGTTGTAGCTAATTTTAGCCGATGCTTACCTAGTATGTCTATATATATCAACATCCACAAACTGAAATTACGCAGTATAAAAAATAAAATATGAACGCGTGGATCTAAATAATGCTATATTAGCGTGTCTGACTTGCAAAACATATACATTGTCCCACTCGATGAGCATGTGTGGAATTCCCTGAGACTACTCATGCATGTGGTATGTACTATGTATACACAATTGATCTCAATAGGCTATCAGTGTGTATACAATCCTACTGTCTAGGGTATATTAGACTATTTGCATTTGTTATTCAATATAAAAATCTGATATACTACCTGATGGCTGAATGAAGTTGTAGAATCAAGTTGTGTAGATCTGATTATAGATAATTGGTGATCTGCTATCATATATACATAAATGTATATATATACAGTAGATGACTAAATGTAATTTACAAAATGTCTAAAATCTTAAATCTTTTAAATTGATTGGTAGTCTACTTGTACAGTGTATGATGTAGCGGCGATAACGTAGCTTATTTTCTGACGACGAGATATTTTTTTATATATTGCGTTGTCAGCAGATCTAGAGGAGGCCGGGTATTAATATTAGTACTATGTATCATGTGACTCAAAAAAAGAAAAAAATGTGCATACAAGTACAATTAACACAGATCTAAATATCAACACTAAGTTCTCTACTCATGACCATTTTATCAAGATTCACTACTTATTAAATTAATCTTATATGGAAAAAGATTTTGAATTGGTGACGTTTTCATAATTATTATAATTATATTGGACCTAATTATAACTACAAAAATAAATAATGATCTTAACACACACACATGTACATGAACAATCTTTCTGTATGTATTTCTCTTGGAATTAAATTTTTGAAATTTGACTTATCAAATAAATTAATTTGAATTATTAGATTGTGAAACTTAAGATAATTTCAAATCCTCTTCATGAAAGTGTCCTTTGCAGATGTGAAAGATACATTATAGACCATGTGCAAGTTTCTTCATGATCATGATTGATCATAATGTCTTCAACTTGTTGGATAAATACTTTTCTATATTTTCACTAAACTTACTAGACTCGTAAGAGAAATATCAAAGTATTTCTGAAAAATATGATTAAATATAACTGGTGTTCATAACCATAAATTTAATGCATACATATATTTCTATGATTTCAATTTTCATTTGAGAATAAAAAATAATCTTAAAATAAATATGTTTTTTTGAAATAGTAATGTTCTTTATGTTAAGAATTTGTGTGATTCTAATGCTAAATGAGCACAAATTAAGATAAAAATCTGTGTCTCAGCAGATGAACTGTCAGCAACTCTGAATCACTTTGAGGTTTTACACTCCCTTGATGTCAGACATAGAACGAAACGTTATGTTGACCCAGAAAAAACAGATGATTTCCACCAAGTATGGATACCCGCATTTGGAAAGTAAGTATCTAGTTTATTGGAATAGTACACACACGACTGACTATAAGTACATCTATTTTAATATAATGAATGCAAGACAAAATTGATTTGCACAGTATTCACATTTATGGGTACCGGTAATTGATGTTCAAAATATTCCTACTATAAACTTAAGAGACATCTGATGAAGGAGGCTTCATCAAACGTCTCTTAAGTTTAGCAGGGTTCAAACTCAAAATATAAAAATATTAAATGTGATGTTGAATTGCATGCACCACCATATCAAATCTATTTTTAAAAGTATTAATAGTTGTTTGTAACATATATATATTGTTCCATGTTTTATTATATATAATATACAAAGGATATTAGATGACTGGCCATGTCATACTGAATTATTGTACAATTTAAATATTTTTTTATTATTTGTCCAAATTTGTATTGTCTCGATCGACATATCACCTTTTATATTTGAATGTCCTTGGTATTTCAGACAATTTCACTTGTCGATGAAGAAGTCCATGATTCTGTCCCATGACTTCCGTACTACGTTGATCGACAGAGATGGGTCAAGTCAGGACTTCCTCAGAAGTTCCTATGACTTCTACTCTGGAACACTACATGGTCAGATATTGTATTAGTGATGAGTAATAGAATCTTCCCCTACCTGTAGGGTGTGACAGAGAAATCTCTAACCTGAGGGGTGATGTTTTTGGTTGTCTAACCCGAGGCCCTCTGATTGTTTTTCTCCCATCTCATTATTTACTCCACCGACAGTTAAGTCTGCCATGTTTGTGAACACATGCTAATCGGCACAAGGCTATCTCCCCCTTAAGGGGTGACAAGCTTTTCTCTTAACCTGGACAGGTGTATCCGCACTTTTACCGGTGTGAGATTTCCTTGTCTCACCCTAGGGTTGAGACGGGGGATTCCCCTTTTCATAACAATGGCATGACGTCATTTCAACAATACAATGACGTCACTTCAACAATCAATCAACGTCACGTCAACCCTGAATTTAGCTTGTAACGTTATCATTACATTGTGTATATGATACACAATGGTAGAACAGGGTAAGAGAAAAGAATAATTCACCCCCTTGTGGCAAAGCCTTGTGTTTGGCAACTTAAGAATCTTCCCCCTTGGGTTGAGATTCTCCTATCTCACCCCCAAGGGGGTGAAAGATTCTATTAATCTTTCTCGACTAAAACGGGAGACACACCTGTGAAGGGTGGGAGATATTTGCTTCTCCATCTGACCCACTGCACAGAATTGACTAAATTAGGCTGGAGACTTCTTAAGGTTGTGGAGAATGGAAACTATACAAATAGAGGGACTGACCCTTTAAGGTCGAGGGGGGAGGGTGAAGAAGGGGTAATTTTGTTTCAATGCCTAAGTGCCTTCTCTCCTAGAAATTTGTGATGGTTATAAATTATATTATTTGATTGGAAGCATCCTCTGTAGGTGATGATTAAAATGTTGTAGTTATACAATGGAGGGGCTGACCCATGCCATATATAGCTGTGATGAAATTAAATTAATTGGTGATGATTTAAATGTATAGAAATTAAATGGAGAGGGACAGGCATCTCTACAGGCAAACTAAAATCTCAAATAATGATTGAGAGTTGACAATGTCTATTTGATTGTATATAAGTACATGTGTTGTAAAGCTTGAAAAAATCCATTTGTGTAAACAGTTTGTTAAGTTAATTTAAGCTTAGGCTGATCCCCAATATTTATTTAAAATTAGAAAGAAAAATATATAAAGAAATTTGGGAATAATAATGTTGCTGTGAAGACTTGTACTTGCGCTATTAAAAGACCTTCTTCCAATAATCCCCTTCACCAATATCTCCTTTTTGCCCAATGTTAATATCACAGTAATCAGATAATGAATACTACGTAATTGTTGAAATTTATGATGTAATCATTGCTTGATTGACATGAATGATAAGGATAGATAAAGTTGATGAGGAAGTTGAAAGGGGATGATGATGATGATGATGAATGTTGAAAAGTGAATGAGGAGGATTATGATGTGATCAATGATTGATATTGATGTGAATGATGAAGGTTATATGACATTGTTGATGATGATGATGATGATGATGATGATGTTGATGATGATGATGAGGATGGATGAGGATGATGATGATGACTGATGATGATGGTTTGATGTCATCAGAAATATGAACAGATATATGTTATGAAGAATAGATGAAGATGATGTTGATTACGATATTGGAAGTGTAAGATGGTGTTGATTGCTTTTATGCTAAGGATATATTTGAAAAAACAAAACAATTACAAAAAGAAAGAAAAAACTTAGTTTTTCCCATGAATAAAGAGGTTTAGTCTGGTGACTTCTTATTGTGACAAGTGCACTGTATTCATTGGCCTATGAACTATGACCTTTCTTAACTCATTAGTGATATTATACATGCATTCTCATTTTAGAACAAGCAATTCAAACACGGTTCACTTTTCTAGTTTGGAATAAAAGGATATTTAATTATTGCAAAAGGTTTGCACTTCAAAAATCAGAATGTTTTGAAGGTGTTCATTTGTACACAATACTATTGCAGAGCTCTACATTTATTGAAATGTAACAGAGCAGGGTCTTTATCAAAGGTCATTTGAGGTTTAATTTTTGCATGGAATTTAAATCTAGATTTGTTCATATTTCAAATAATTAAGCTAGCAGGGATGTTTAAAAAAAATCTACTAGTCTAACTTATGTTTTCGTCGTAAATAACTTTGAAGCTGACTATTTTTACATACTCCACTGTTTGTTGTGTGATCTAGGTGAGAAGGATACACAAGTCAATGTTTACTGGGAGGATGGGCTACTCACGGCAAGCATTGTCACTGCTGAAGAGGTCTACTTTGTGGAGGTTTGTATTGATTGATAAGTTAGATCTTCTCACATTATCTACCTTTATATAGTACTGTAACAGGAAATATCTCCAGGTTCCTAGTCGGACGCTCTACCACTGAGCTAAAGGGAAATTCCCTCTAGCTTGAAGCTAGAAGGCGAACGTAATCCTATGTACAATTAAACTCTGCCACACTTCCCCCACCCCTTTTTAAATGTGTTCACCCTCGAACACCACAACCAAAGTTCTAACTCCCTGTCACCACAGGAAGGGTCATGGACACTATTTGTAACAGGAAAGAGAATAGTGTGCTTCCACCGGGGATCGAACCCTCTATCTCCAGGTTCCTAGCTAGTCGGACGCTCTACCACTAAGCTAAAGGGAAATTCCCTCTAGCCCAAAGCTAGAAGGCGACCGTAATCTTATGTACAATTAAACTCTGCCACAGTATTAATCTTTGACTGTGTTGGCAGATAAAGGAAGCTTAGAGGATGTGAACAGGATTTTGTTTTAGCTCACCTGGCCTGAACTGCCTATCTGAGGATCTAAGGAGATTCTGGCTTGATTAGTAGTTCCCCTGTTTTCATTAGATTGTCCTCGAAACTGTTAGAGTTCACTGTCATTACGTAATTAGTAGCTGTGTATTCATCATAGTGTTAACAGAGACGATGAGTTATTTTCTTTCGTCATATCGTTAGGGGTAAATATTTGGACTTTGTTTTGTCATACAAATTCTGCTTTTGTCTTTGCTAGCCTGCCCGGAGATACATGTCGACTGCCCTCAATCACACCTTGATTGTCTATAGGAAGTCTGACCTGAAGGTAGCACAGGATCCCTGGGATGGAATGATGAGGTAAATACTACACATAGGCCTAATAATGTAGCAATGCCTTAAAACTTTTTTTATTTTTTTGAGAATATTACATAGGTGTCAACCTCTGAAACCTCCAATGAGGGAGATCTCCCTCATTCCACATTTCCAATGAGGGAGATCTCCCTCATTCCACATTTCCAATGAGGGAGATCTCCCTCATTCCACATTTCCAATGAGGGAGATCTCCCTCATTCCACATTTCCAATGAGGGAGATCTCCCTCATTCCACATTTCCAATGAGGGAGATCTCCTTCATTCCACATTTCCAATGAGGGAGATCTCCCTCATTCCACATTTCTTATGAGGGAGAAAGTGCATGAAATGCAACTGAAACTGCTTTGGTCAATTATTTTTCCGTTTTTGACACATGCGTTAGGTAACGCAGGTGTCTAGGGGATCTCGCATACTACGAAATTTGCTTAACGCGGAACTGCACAGTAGATACTTATGCCACCTATGACTAACTATATTTATATAGTCTTTCGGTCCTTATATGGTAGCTGATATCCCCTTATATGGATGTCATTCATTCACATTTCATTCATATGCAAATGATTTTGGCAGCGACCCCTGGCATTTCATTCATACCGTAGTGACAACATTTTGTGGTTTGCCAACTAATAGGCAGAGAAAGCATTCACTTCGATACTTTCTTAACTAGCCATATGTTTATGTATCTTCTTCTTGCAATAATCTGCATACCTCCTCTGGTGTATTGTTACAGATGTAACTACACAAAGCATTCATTTCATTCAGACACACCTGTTATGATCATTACACACACCCTGCAGTAACTAGGTGATCATTTGACCACAGGATGTAGATTTTTAGTTTGTGTGAGTTTGTACTTGAATGAAGGAGTTTCAATGGAGATTGGAAAATTTTGGTCAAAATGAGGGGGTCTCCCTCCTAATGAGGGAGTTTTGACAACTATGATATTAAGGATGTTTGTCCCGGGTAGGATGTTGTTAGAGTCCTTAGTTATACTAAAAAAATTGATGCAATCATGTTTTTAAAAAGGATTTCCCAGAAATAGTCACAGTGCTTCTGTACTTTCTTTGATCAATTACATGCATGGGAATCTGCAATCTAGTAACTTAACTAATAACCACAGTGACTGTATAGATAAACAATTAAATTATGTATTGCCCTCTAGGTCTGATGGCCTACCTCGGTTGTAACATTGTTATTGCTTCAAATCTATTTGACATCATGATAATTATTTTCTGTTTTTGTCGTCAAAAAAAAATAGAAAATGATTGGCAAATCTACAGTATCTACAATATAGATCGAATCACAATCTGTTACGCCAGAAGATTTCTAAATTAGCCATGCAAAGATTTGTGAGATGCAAAATGTCATTAATTATATTAATAATAAGCTTAATATCATATTAAAGAAGATAATTTGATAATATTTTTTAGCAATTTGAAGACTCCTTGTAAATACCAAAGGAACACAACTGTGATGCAGAATATGCAACAGAATCAGGAACAGAAAGGTAATTTATTATAACTATTCAGACAGACTTAAAAATAACCACATTGTTTGATTTGCCCCAATAACCACCCAGGCCCAAGTTACTCAAAGATGGTTAAAGTTAAGCAGTGGTTAGTGAAAAATTTAAAATAGTAACACAGCAAAATTCAGAAACTCAGATATCATCTCACTGCTATGGATATATTGTAGAGAAAAATAATTATAAGATTGACATGTTTTAACCCTTTCACCACTGTAGACTCATTCAGATCAATGCATGGTAGAGTCCACTACAGTTACATAGGGGTGAAAGGGTTAAGGATTTATTTTGCTTTACAGCCTTGTTTTTTGGGGGGACAATTTGGACTTTTCTCTAACCTATGGTTTAAGTTAACCAATATTTGTGCAACCGGGGCCAGATTACTAAGCAATTTCAGATAGAATGATTGCAAAATCTTCAAGTTGCGCTAAAATGCCCATATTAGATATTTTATGATGTAAATCCGACACTTTCGTTGTAATATAACCCTTTCACCCCTATGTAACTTCAGTAAACTCTTCCATGCATTGATATGGATGAGTCCATTACGGTCTACAGTGGTAAAAGGGATTAGGGATAAGGCACATTTTAAATATGATATGGCATGCTTCGAATTCTGTAATATGTCACAGTAGTTTTCCTTTCAAAACTATTTTTATGCTTGACAGAAACATGTCAGATTTATTTTATAAATAATTCTTTGAATATGGCTTTAATCTGTTGATGACACATACATTTGAAAGATTCACTAACACTAATTATGGGTATAATATATAGATTACATATATATTCTTCAATCAACAGAGTGATTTCAATCATAAGAGTTGGTAATGCAGCTGTTTATCTGTACCCTTAAGTTTGTAATAAACAGAATAACAAAATTACCAAATTTTATTTAGGTCCTGATCGTTGGAAGCGGGCTGTGGATTTTGGAAATCGTAAATACTGCAGAATTATTTTGGTGGCAGACCATTATTTTCATGAGAATATCGGTCGTGGTTCTATCCTTGCTACCCAGAATTACATGGTAATTAATAGACCTGTTAAATGGATTTTTGTATCTGGTTCTATTTGTCTGGTAATCTGTCTTTGACTCTTTTGTTTGTTTCTTACTTCCATTTTAAAGTCAGTTTTACAAGTTCATTGTCCGTTCTTAAAATGTTTTATTTTCATTTGTCTCTTGTTTTACTTCTATATCAATAATGTAAAATATTAAATGCTATGCATACATTTGTATTTTTTTATACTTTGCAAAATAATTGCAGATGATATGATTGAAGTTATTGAGTGTATCCTGACATTTATCTTTTGTATTGTGGTAAAAATATCATGGAGGATAATATGATATACTTTATAATCTGAAAAGCAAAATGACAGCAAGGTTATAATGCAATTAAGCCACACATGACAGTGGTGTATAATTTCATATCTAGGGTACTAGTTTAAAGGCAGTCTCTGAAAAATTCTACTAGCTTGACCTATATTTCCATCTAGTAAATAAAAAAATAATAATACTGTACGTAGTCATGACATAAAATCTATTAACTCAGATGTTGAGCTAGTGAGGTCATACACCCCCTTATGCTGACAGATAAATTATTGTGTATTTCTATAATGTTTGATAGATTGGTGTACTGGACAGAGTGAACTCTATATACCAAACCACCAGCTGGCCAGATGACTCAGGTGTTACTGGACTCGGGTTTGAAATCAGCAAGGTAACATTTCGCATTTGAATTGACAAAATGATTTTGGGATTTTTTTAACAGAATAATCTGATCTGATTTTGGGATATCTATATTTTACCATTTACATTCCTGTATTCCTACCACTGCCAGAAATTGTAACTAAATGTTGGAAACTTTTCTGGTATAACGTACTGCAAAGAAAATCATAAATAGCGGTACATTTATGAAAAAATAATGAAGATGAAATATGCAGAATAAAACCCACAAATTAACAGTGTTCTGAGTGTACAAAACAGTGTTTGCTTGACAGATAATCATCCACCTTGAGCCTTCAGAAGGAGACCACTACAACCAGGCCAACAGACAGACAGATATGGGCGACACACTAGATGTAAGCTATAGCTAGTTGATATATATTCTATTAAAAGCCATAGGCTATTCCACTTGTCAATAATCTTTTTGACAAAATTTTACAAATAGATTTACTTCATAATTATTTTCTGTTGTCGACGTCCCAGATAAAAAAAACACTTTATCACTGTTGCATTAAAAACAAAATACATATCTGATACTAGTAAAAACATGCCGAGAGATCTAGGAAGATAACTCATTGAGCTAGAAAATGTTGCTTGGACAGTTCTTTAGAAAATATGGAGCTAGAAAAAACAAAAAGCTCCTCAAGCTCTGTGGACATTTCTCTTAGTAGAAGTAAGGGAAGTACTACATGTAGATAGAGAAAATAAGATAAATCACAGCAGATCAGAGTTGTTGAGAAGATTGTTTAAATGAACAAAAATCCAAACATGATTTGTCTCAGTAAAGATTAATTTTTTAAAAATATTGAAAATTTATGAGCCATATAGTGACAAAGCTTAACAGAATAAGTTATAGAAATGATGGTTTGTCCAACTGTTCGTTGTCTCAACAGATAGATTGCTTAGTAGACATGTAGTTGATCTTCAGTAATTGGAATTTGTGATCTTTTAACCCTTTCACCCCTATGTAACTTTAGTAGACTCTACCATGCATTGATCTGGATGAGTCGTTTTTGGTCTACAGTGGTGAAAGGGTTAATGTGCAGCTTTAGTGATCTGCCAAGTTTTACCTTTGCAAAGGTTCTATTTAAAAAAAAGTAGACAAATCTGCAGTTCTGTATTAGCTTGTATTGTTTGTGTTTTAGTGTTTAAGTAACGCATGCCTTTTTCATTTTTGTGGTTGTAGATTTTTAGCTCCGAGTTTTTCCTAAACGGTGCCTGTCTGGTCCATCTATTTACGTACTCAGCGTTCCAGCAAGACCTCGGTCTCGCCTTTATAGCGTCCTGGCGGAGCGGTGACTTTGGTGGTATATGCTCCCCTATGAGCTATGGTAATTAATTCATAACCAAAGAATGTTTTTAGTGCAGCATAAATTTAATCCACACCAAAAGTCAACAGCATTTACTTTATTATATCTCGGATTAGATCACACCTAACTTTTCAGTGTATTTATTTTAATGTGCATGTATGCTGCAATTAAAACAGATTTTATTCCTCAACAAAATACTCCCCATGATGCATTAAATTCCTGTAATAAATTAAATAAATGCAACATTTTGACATCTAATGGTTTTCAAGAAAGTTAAAAAGAGTTTGTCTGATTTAAAATTAAAATGCCATATACAATATATCCAGCTATCACTCGTCTGGTTGTCCCACTATCCAGCCATCACTAGCCTGGTTTTACCACTATCCAGCCATCACTAGCCTGGTTTTCCCACTATCCAGCCATCACTAGCACCTGGTTTTACCACTATCCAGCCATCACTAGCGCCTGGTGTTACATGTACCAATATCCAGCCATCACTAGCCTGGTTTTCCCACTATCCAGCCATCACTAGCACCTGGTTGTACATGTCCCACTATCCAGCCATCACTAGCCTGGTTTTACCACTATCCAGACATCACTAGCACCTGGTTGTACATGTACTATCATCCAGCCATCACTAGCCTGGTTTTACTACTATCACTAGCCTGGTTTTACCACTATCCAGCCATCACTAGCCTGGTTTTACCACTAGTAAGCTATCACTCGTCTGGTTGTCCCACTATCCAACCATCACTAATCTAGTTGTTCCCACTATCCAGCCATCACTTGCCTAGTTTTACCACTATCCAGCCATCACTAGGGCCTGGTTGTACATGTACCACTATCCAGCCATCACTAGCCTGGTTTTACCACTAGTAAGCTATCACTCGTCTGGTTGTCCCACTATCCAACCATCACTAATCTAGTTGTTCCCACTATCCAGCCATCACTAGCCTGGTTTTACCACTATCCAGCTATCACCCGGCTGGTTTTACCACTATCCAGCCATCACTAATCTAGTTGTTCCCACTATCCAGCCATCACTTGCCTAGTTTTACCACTATCTAGCCATCACTAGCCTGGTTTTACCACTATCCAGCCATCACTAGCGCCTGGTTGTACATGTACCACTATCCAGCCATCACTAGCCTGGTTTTACCACTCTCCAGCTATCACTATAGTATGGTTGTCCCACTATCCAGCCATCACTAATCTGGTTGGTCAACTGTTTAGACACTACTACATGTAACTTGTTTTTCCACTACCAAGCTAACGCTAATCTGGTTGTTTCACTACCCAGTCACTACTTATCTGGTTGTCCCACTATCCAGCCATCACTAGCCTGGGTTTTACCACTATCCAGCCATCACTAGTGCCTGGTTGTACATGTACCATTATCCAGCCACCACTAGCTATAGCCTGGTTTTACCACTATCCAGCCATCACTTATCTGGTTGTCCCACTATCCAGCCATCACTAATCTGGTTGTTCAACTGTTCGGACACTACTACATGTTATCTTGTTTTCCCACTACCCAGCTATCGCTAATCTGGTTGTTTCACTACCCAGTCACTAATTATCTGGTTGTCCCACTATCCAGCCATCACTAATCTGGTTGTCCCACTATCCAGCCATCACTAGCTATGCCTGGTTTTACCACTATCCAGCCATCACTAGCCTGGTTTTACCACTATCCAGCCATCACTAGCGCCTGGTGTTACATGTACCAATATCCAGCCATCACTAGCCTGGTTTTCCCACTATCCAGCAGTCACTCGTCTGGTTGTCCCACTATCCAGCCATCACTAATCTGGTTGTCCCACTATCCAGCCATCACTAGCTATGCCTGGTTTTACCACTATCCAGCCATCACTAGCGCCTAGTGTTACATGTACCAATATCCAGCCATCACTAGCCTGGTTTTACCACTATCCAGCTATCACTACTCTGGTTGTCCCACTATCCAGCCATCACTTAATTATCTGGTTGTCTCACTATCCAGCCATCACTAATCTGGTTGTTCAACTGTTCGGACACTACTACATGTAATCTTGTTTTCCCACTACCCAGCTATCACTTATCTGGTTGTTTCACTACCCAGTCACTACTTATCTGGTTGTCCCACTATCCAGCAATCACTAATCTGGTTGTCCCACTATCTAGCCATCACTAATCCGGTTGTCCCACTATCCAGCCATCACTAGCTATACCTGGTTTTACCACTATCCAGCCATCACTAATCTAGTTGTACCCACTATCCAGCCATCACTAGCCTGGTTTTACCACTATTCAGCCATCACTAGGGCCTGGTGTTACATGTACCACTATCCAGCCATCACTAATCTGGTTTTACCACTTTTCAGCTATCACTAGCGCCAGGTTGTACATGTACTATCATCCAGCCATCACTAGCCTGGTTTTACTACTAGTAAGCTATCACTCGTCTGGTTGTCCCACTATCCAGCTATCGATAATCTAGTTGTTCCCCCTATCCAGCCATCACTAGCCTGGTTTTACCACTAGCAAGCTATCACCCGGCTGGTTTTACCACTATCCAGACATCACTAATCTAGTTGTTCCCACTATTCAGTCATCATTAGCCTGGTTTTACCACTATCCAGCCATCACTAGTGCCTGGTTGTACATGTACCACTATCCAGCCATCACTAGCCTGGTTTTACCACTATCCAGCTATCACTTGTCAGGTTGTCCCACTATCCAGCCATCACTAATCTGGTTGTCCCACTATCTAGCCATCACTAGTCTGGTTGTTCACCTATCCAGTTATTGACTGCACTGCATGCCTTAACATTTTCTATTCAAAACCAGCCACTATTATTGAAAAATGTTTTACCTTTAATCCGTGGTAAAATGTGTTTCAGCTGATAAGATGGCGGGTAACACAGGCTTAACATCCTTGAGAAACAGGGTGGGAAATACAGTGCTGACACTGCAGTCCACTATCATCACTGCTCACGGTAAGGCTGACTATTATAATATAGGTTACCATAATGTTTGTGAAATATTTATTTTTTCTCAAGGGATTTTTCGTCATTATTATTTCTCTGGTTTGGATGTACAGCTGGTACCAGTAAATTTATTATGACCAGCAAACATTTCTTATCAATAAACAGTACAAACCTAGAAATTTAAAAAGTTCAAAATCTGTGAAGCACCTGTTTTTTCCATATGAGTGTTAAAATCATCAATTAATGATTGAAGTCTATTATTATAAATAGATTGCACCAGTATGTTTCATAAAATCGTCCCAAATGGTTGGAGTAAATTGTTTTTTGTGAACATGCTGCCTGAAGGATGATTAACTTTTGTAGATGACTTTCATTGCCTAACAGTCGTATTATAAAAACCACTGTTTGAATATTAAAGCCTTCCCGGTACCATTTTGAAATGAAAATGAACAATATTCAAAATCACATCTAAAATTAACCAATGAAAATTAAATAAAACATGTTGTGAGATGAATACTTTTTTTTCAGTCTTCTTTTGTCGATCCATGAGAAATGGTCCTCCTTTGTGATGTTGTATATATGTTGTATTTTTGGTATGAAGCACTGTAACTGGTTTTTAAGATGAGAAGGTCTGCATGCAATTTAAATCATTTTTTTCTCATTTCATATTGCTGTTTGATAACAACACTTGAAATGTAGAATTGGGTAAGTAAACACATGCTTTAAGTGTTTATTTAATTTCTAACTTGTCATTACACACTATATCATTATCAAAAGTTATAGAAAGGCTACACTGTATACTTTGAAAATTGATTGGTTTTCACAGATCACTGTCCTTAATTTTATGTCTGTTTCAGAATTCTGATATAATTGGTTTCCCTCCAATACCACACTCTCTGACATAAACCAAAACAACACCAAAATAATAATTCAATTATTTATTGTATGGAGCGCATAATCGCCGACAGTATATACACATCAAACTGGCTCAAATTTCTCACATTTCCGTACCTACATCATGAATTCACTTAAAACCATTCCATCAATTCATTACGAAATTCGCAAAATTTCTAATAAAGAAGATGTACATGTCTCAATGAAAAACCAAAAACCATGTGTACTTTCGGTGCGACTATCGCTGAATGACCTGACAGTCACATACCACACACCGCACAACCAGCAAGTGCGATATCCGACTTCAACATCCTCTATCAGAAGGTACGACACTGATGGAAAAACAATTTTCGGCTTATACTGTTCCATGAAACTCTGAAAATTATATAACATTTGTATAGAAAAAATGCAATTTTGGGTAGTGGGGTCTAATTAAAGAGGGTGCTTCAATCCCTGTACAATATATATATTGCATGTTGAGTTCAATGTGTTGTAGGTCATAACTGGGGAAGTGGTCATGACAACACAGACAGCCCTGAGTGTAGCGATTTCTACATCATGTATCCTACCTCACAGGAGGGCACTCAATCAAACAATGTGGTATGTATAGAGGGGAGTACTCATCAATTAATGTGGTATAAAGAGAGGGGTCACTCACTCAAACAATGTGGTATGTAGAAAGGGGGCACTCATCAATTAATGTGGTATGTAGAGAGATGGGCACTAATCAATTAATGTGGTATAAAGAGAAGGGTCACTCACTCAAACGATGTGGTATGTAAAGAGGGGGCACTCACTCAAACAATGTGGTATTTATAGAGGGAAGCACACATCAATTAATGTGGTATGTATAGAGGGGGCACTCATCAATTAATTTGGTATATAGAGCGGGGGGCACTCATCAATTAATTTAGTATTTAGAGCGGGGGGCACTCATCAATTAATTTAGTATTTAGAGCGGGGGGCACTCATCAATTAATTTGGGATGTAGAGCGGGGGACACTCATCAAATAATGTGGTATGTAGAGAGGGGTCACTCACTCAAACAATGTGGTATGTAGAGAGGGGTCACTCACTCAAACAATGTGGTATGTAGAGAGGGGACGTTCACTCAAACAATGTGGTATGTAGAGAGGGGAGTACTCATCAATTAATTTGGTTTGTAGAACAGGGGCACTCATCAATTAATTTGGTATGTAGAGCGGGGGGCACT